GGAGGCGAGTCAACTCATGTGCCTCGTCGTTGGCTGAAAGTCAAATCAATCCTTGTTAAATTGATTGGGACGAGTGGTATGCATGACTGTATTATATATAAGTTCATCTCAGTATATATGTCAGCTTACGTCGACCTGAGTCTTCTTTTGATGTTTAACTTTAGATTGTCTTTGGAAGAAGGGACTAGGATTGATTGAGGTTTTCTTACGCTTGAAAAATCATGTCCTAGTTGACCGACGTTGGTCCGATCCCTGGGAGATAAGCGTCCCTGGGACAGACGGCGTTCGAGTCCACTTTGGCGTTTAACCATGCGTACCTATGCTACAGCGAACGAGCAAACGCCCTCGGCCGGCCTACCTCTGCAATTGCATTATGAAAGCTTTCGCATGTGGGTCGGTAGCTCGGCGGGGATACGCCCCTAAGGGTGGTGACAGCCCCTTAGGGAAGGTAAGTTGTGCCCCGAGAGCATCCTGTCGTAGGGGACCGCGGGATGTACAGCTGGCGCACTCGGTCGGAGCGACAAAGTGCCGACGCGGGTTACCGTATCGTCCCCGAGTTGTCTCTAAAAAGTAGAAAGACTAAGTTTCTCCTGCGTGACGCGGCCGGGAGGGCCCTCGCTCGCTTGGGGGCCGATGCGCTCGACAGCGCTAATTCCCTTTCTCAACCAACTGAGTGTACATTTTTTATTTCCTACTCTGGTTTGGACATATGAATGAATCGACGGTTATTGTGCGTGCACGACTCTCGATGGTTGAATACCCGTGATTGTGTGAGAGTGTCTTCGAGTCCTGGCTCTCGCCCCACCTTCTCCTTTCTTTGGATCCGGTTGGGCGTGAAGCTTAAAAACGCAAATGCTGACAATGATTGTTCAATCGGATGGATGTCACTTTCTCATCAAGTGAAAACAAAAAATAAAAAATGAACAGCACTATAAAACCCTATTCGAAGTAGCTTTCGAAGTTCGCCAAAACGTTTTTCGAATTCGGTATTTTTGCCAACTTTTTCGTTACTCGTCCAAATACACCGAAACTGAATACAAATGTACCCTAAAGTTTATACATATGTGGCAAAAAAAAAAAAACCAGGAAAATATGGCAGTTTCGGTTAAAAATTTGCCGAAAATGACACGACCTATTGACCACGAGTGACTGTTGCTTGTCTTCTGTGCTCCTTTACTGAATTCAATTTTCTTAGTAGCTTAGTCATTTACCGAAAATGTTTCTACGTTTTTCGTTTGGTTGACGACGTTTCGATTTTCGTAAAGCTTAGTGAGAGGAATGCCCACGACACAGTGAAAGGTGATAGATTGATTGGAAGCTTCAATAACTGTTACGATAGCAACTTGATTCTGGAAGGACGAATAATAACGAGCATCGGGATTACCTAAGTTGCGTGCTTCACATGTGCAGATCTGTAACGGGTGTGCAATGTGTACCGGTGATAAAGGACCAGAAGAGTGGACTAAGTGGGAACCTGGTGTTTCAAAATATTCAAGATTATCGATCCTACTCTAGTAAACAACAGAAAATGTTTGTCGTTGGTTCTTTTTTGCACCGGGCGAAGATCTATTTCTCAATGCCTGGTTTGGAGCTACCATTCCTATTGTCACAAAAAAACGAGTTATGGAAAAGAGGTTACCCGAACGACTTATTCGACAGTGCTCTTGTATCCTTTTTTAATAAATTCAGGGCGGTCTGGAAGGAGTAGGTTCTGGTTTTAACTGGGTGGAACTGGCGGCAACCAAAGGTTGCATGGAACAAGGTCTTTCCTTGGTTTAGGGGGGTCGGCACTATGTGACTTTCATGGTGATTCGAGGCTGACGAAGAATGGTGGTGCTGCGGTTTCCGTTTTTCTGTTTTTATTTACCATTTTTATATACCGGCTTTCTTCTTTTCTTATTTTCTTGGGAAGGGAAGTAAGGTGGCATGAGAGAAACTGGACTGGATCGTTGGGTCCTTTTCCTGATCGTTTGTTTTTGTTTTCTCGCTTTTCTGTTTTTTCAAAGAATTCAAGCATGTTACGTGGTGGATAAAGAACTGGTTACGAATTTTGTGTAGTTTTTCAAAAGAGGGCGGCGATGACTTTTGAGGCTTTTTTGCGACGAACGTAAGGCAGGTACGTGGTGGACAGTAAACTGGCTACGGACTTTGGCGGGGATCTCTTTGGAAAACGTGTGACGCGAGATGGTGCAAGCTGTCCTGGTCCCGTCAAGATTCGAAAAATTACTTTTTGTTTCTTGTTTTTGAGTTTTTTTTGTTTTTCTAGACTTCTTAAGAGCTATATAGGGCATGTATTTGGTGCAGTTTTCGGTATATCTGACAGAACATGTATCTGGTACGGTTGAGGTACCGGTTCAATGTTGGGAAGTTCGAGCTATATAGGACATGTATCTGGTGCAGTTGTCGGTATATCTGACAGGACATGTATCTGGTACGATTAAGGTATTGGTTCAATGCTGGGAAGTTGGAGCAGATACTAAGCTACAGAGGTAGTAAGTTTTGGCGGGGAGTTGATTGAATAGTGTATGAACTCTGCGGCGGGATCAGTTTGCGAATTACGTGTTCTAGACTGTCCATAGGCTACAGACTATCGTAGTTTGGCACACGACATATGAGCAAGGTTTGCAATGGTCTAAACACCTTCCAAAGACCCCTGATGATCCTGGCTGGCGACCAGGTGAAACCGGTAGGGTTGTTCAACAGGCGGAACTACTGTTTCATCATGCTGCTGTTTTCATGTTTATATTTTCAAGGAGTCGCGTTCGAGTTTATCACTTTACGGCTTGTCTTGTGTCCATATCGCTTCGTTTTCTTCGTCTTCTTTCTTCTCTTCTCCCCCTGTCCTTCTTGCTGGATTTCGCATGATGGTGTGTTGATGTCATACGGTAGACATGTATGATGTCCTAATGGATTGCTGACAAAGCGCATTCCCATTGCCGCTTCCCAGGCCCCTTTTCCGCACTGTAGTCAATCCAACAGGAAAGCAGTGCAGGGCGTGAGGTTGGAGCGTCACAAGCCAGGCGGGAGCGTTTACGTTTGGGGGGGAACTAGGTAGGAGTCGTTGCCCGCTTGAGAATCAAATACACACTGGTATATTGAGAAGCCAAGTGGGGTTGGCCCGCCGCTCCTGTTTTGTGTTTCGGGCCTTCTTTTCTTCCCACAGCCCGTATACTGGTGGTGTATGCATCCCTTGATGATGAGAGGAGCCATGATTACAGGGGTCCCCTGTATAGGCTTAGGAGGCGTGGTAGGTACTAGGTAGGTAGTGGAAGCACTGGAAGGTGCAATTGATAGGAGAAGATAAACGGAAAAAGAAAAGAAAAACGAACCGGGACGGGTGCACGGAAATAAAACGAACCGGGGGAAAAAAGAAAATACCCGAACAGCCACGCGCCCTTTTCTGGGTGGCTAATGCCAGATTGGAGAAATATGGCTATGTATGTGAAGTACTGCTGGCCCCATGTTGGGGCAAGCGATGCACCCCTATTTTATTTTACACCCACCATTTTTTTTTAATTATTATTATTCTTATTATTTTTTATTTTTTTGAGAAGTTACCATTTTAAATTTGTATCCCACCCTTGTGCCGCCTTTTTTTTTGCCTTTTTCTTTTTTTTCTTTTTCTTACGAGCAGAGTGACGCGTGCACCCCCCTTCCGCCGCCGTTCCTTGGGTGAGGTCCCACTAGCAAAGAGGGTTGGATAAATATCTTGAATCTGGACGTGTTTCAAACAGAGATGCGGAAAGCTGTTCAATCTCGACATTCTGCACCTTTGTACTAACAAGGCGAGATTCATGTGTTCAATCCAATCCTCTTTGCTAGTGGGATCTCGCCTCGTGTGTCGGGGGCGATTGATTCCCGCCTTGAGTCGGGGGCGATTCATTCCAGCGGCGGATCAGCCGAGCTGATAGGGCATCGCCCCACCACTCTCCAAATGCTCAAATGAGACTGAATCTTTCCCTAGAACATGCAAATGTACATTGCCATAATTTTTGTTTTTTGCGCACCGCAAATCCCGTCTGATACGATATCGCCGCGATTTGACGAATATCCCGCGCAGGCCTCAAAGCGGCCTTCAGAGATGCGAGCTGCAAAAGGGCGGGCCGAAAGGGGCACGTGGCGAAATGCAAGGACGGATCCGAAAGGGAAAAAAGCAAAGGATTTTTTCTTATTTGTTTTTTTGGGGATTTTTTCTTTTTTTTTTGGGGAAAATAATTTTCGCATAGGGCCTCCCTGCACTACTCCCGACATGCACAAAAGACAAAGATCATGGCGATGTATCTTTCCATATTCTAGCGGAAGATTCACTCTCCTTTTGCACATTTCGAGAGTAGTGCAGCGAGGCCCATGGTCGTGTCGAGTTATGACTGGACAAACCAAGAAAGAGATGGCGCCTGCGACGCGTGGCACTAATTATTGCGAAGCAAATGGCTCGCTGTCCAGCTCCAGCAGTCCCGATTGCAATTGACAGACTCGTTGTAATTATGGGGAAACAGTAGCTCTCTGAGCAACTCCAGCAGTGCCCGTTGCGACTCGAAGACTCCCGTTATAAGTTGTACACGAATCTCTTTCAAATGTCGGGATCGAGAAGGGACGTCTTTCACCTTCCGACCGGCCGTGTTTCATCGCCGCCATAGCTAGCGCACCCTTCGAATGTCCAATTTCATCTTTGTCTTTCCTTGTTGATCTCTCCACCGTCCACACTCAACTAGAGAGAGAGAGAGAGAGAGAGAGAGAGAGAGAGAGAGAGAGAGAGAGAGAGAGAGAGAGAGAGAGTGTATCATCACGGAGAGAGAGAGAGAGAGAGAGAGAGAGAGAGAGAGAGAGAGAGAGAGAGAGAGAGAGAGAG